TTGATGTGTGTGGTTTAACGTCCCAAAACCACCATATGATTATGAGAGACGCCGTAGTGGAGGGCTCTGGAAATTTTGACCACCTGGGGTTCTTTAACGTGTACCCAAACCTGAGCACACGGGCCTACAACATTTCCGCCTCCATCAGAAGTGCAGCCGCCGCAGCCGGGATTGGAACCCGCGACCTGCGGGTCAGCAGCCGAGTACCTTAGCCACTAGACCACCACGGCGGGGCATCACCGATAGGCTATTCATGTAGGTGGACATTCAGCACAAGACGTAGGATCAGGCTCTATTATACATAACATTCGCTAATAACATTGCCAGCGAAGAAACGACAAGATTCACAACATTCTCTCTCGTTTACGGACGTGAGGTCCACACCAAGGTAGACGCTATGTTGCCAAACGATTACCATGGTTCTCAGTAGATTTAGTTTGGGTATGGACGCCGGTTTACCGCCAAGGGTTGTCTGAAAAGCACCGCGGTGGATCGCGTGAGTGACGTGAACTGTCAGGTTGTCTCAGACAGAATAATGTTGCCCCAGCGTCTTGTTCACGTTGTAGGCTCAAGCCGTACTTCACGCGTTAGTGCGATCATGGCTTGGCCTGATTACTTTGTTGTTTTTTTTCAATGCACCCAAAGTGTGCTCGTTTGGTTTTCTTCTGCTTATCCACTACCACTTGCGAAAGCATCGGTGCCATGCTTTTTTTTCCAGTGGGGGACTAATGCCACCTGGCCATGAACAGCGGCGAGCACGAGCCAGCATCCACATGAAACAAACGATGTCGTTGGGACAGCACGCTCTCTCGCTCAGTCTTTTTGGTTGTGTCGCGTCACTGACCTGAGTCTCTGTAATTATGCGGTACTCCTTGCCCGAAGCCCTTCTTTTTGACGCGTGACAATACCTTATAGAGAACAGCGATTTCTACTTTAGCTGAAATTTATCAAGTCATGTGTTTCGTAGAACAACTGGTAACTTTTGCTCGGAATCACGCAGATTAGACGGAAAAACAGCTTTCTGCCGATCTGTGCTGTGACACGAGATTTCTTCCAAACATTGATTTTTTCCCTATACGTTTTCAGCAAAACTGAATGGCGTTCTCGAAAAGTCGACCGATACACTGCTTCAGGGACCACAATCACCGCGGCATAAGTGTCGGCCTGCATAGGCACGCTCTTTGCTTCTACGCTTATAATAACTGTATAGCTTCTCTGGATATACAATGATGAATCAATCGTGACACTCGTAGATCGTGCGCCCATCTTCGCTGAATGATTCCGACACGATGTGTGGTCTCTTTTGTAGAACGCTTCTTAGGCACATTTTCTACAGATGACCTACTTTTGTGCACCAGCTGCCTTTATAGTTCTTGTACCAGAAGTTATCGAAGTCGTGCGCCCTTGGTGCTTTTTTTCTCATTCTGCTGCATGGCTTTTTTTTTAGTATTCATAGAGGTACTTCAGATTTGACGAGCATCAGACCCTAATGTACGCCTCCTGCTTGCAGAATTTCCATTTGCATAGCTGATAGCTCCCGTGAATCATCAATTTTGCGAGCACTTCCATAGCTTTAATCTTCTTTTGTGAAAAGGGCGCTTAGACTGTGTTTGCTACCGAATCCTGTCACAAGTCTGTCACGCATAGCGTCTTTTGGGGAGGACCTGAAATCACTTTTTCAAGCCAACTGCTTCATCTCAGGGACAAATACTTCTATACTTTCTCGCTCTAACTTTACCTTAACCCTGATGTTAAATTTTCCCCTTTCTGCTATAATTTATATCAGGGGTGGTAAATCTCCCTCAATACAATCCTGACTTCGAAAGTAGTCTCCCCAGGCAGCGCTGGTGCTACCAGAATTTTAAGTATTTTTCGTGCTTCCACCGAAATTACAGTAAAAAGAGATAAGCTTACACAAGCCGTGTAAAGCTTAAGATACAGCGAAGCTGGTCGATTTGAGTGACATAACGCGGACTTGGTTGATACTAGCTTATTACTTGGCGCCCACATAGCAGAGCCAAAACGCAGTCTAAAATAACAGAAAGCTGAGCTAGTTGGTAAGTGTTCACTCTAAAAAGACAGGACATGCAAAGATGAACAAAAGAAAGAAGTTCTAGCGTGTGACTCAAGAAATCCTGACTTCTTTTTTGCATCCATGTTTGCACTGAACATACCCGTTTTGTTTTAGATCTTGAGATAATACAAACTGCATCTGAAGGCCGCAATACAAGCGATATCAAAACTGAGTGAGTCGTGCATGAAAGAAAATATCAATGATGTGTAACATCAGACAAAAACTTCACATGAGGAACATTGACTAAAGGTGTTTGGCAGTAGAATATGGTAAAAAATGCCAAGTCGTCTGAAATACGCACATGGAGTGCTTATTCCCGATGATGAGTGCAGATATGTCAGAAGTACATTGTGCGGTGGCAACCAGCGATCAATCACCAAGGAAGTCCTTACAATAAAGCTACGACTCTACATCATAGGAGAGGCCAGAATCGCATTCAACGTTTTTGGAAGAGCCCCTCCCCTGAGTGCCAAAACTTGAAAATCATTGCACCTTCGCTGCGTAGCTAGCACAACTCTTTATTCTGCGCTGTGCAAGCAACCATGTTTTGATTTATTTGTCACGGCATATTTACGCATTCACCGAAAACAAATTTGAGAGGCAGTTGCGTTTGAAAGGCAAATTTCTTGTTTATGAACAGTGATTCATGCGAGCAAACTGAGAACCCTGGACTGCGCTTGCCCATCGGGCCAGGCTCTCGCAGATATTGACGGCTCAAGTCGAAAGCAGCACTAATATCCAAGCCTTGGTTGCAATAAATTCCATGTTCGGATGGGCGTTTCAAGGACGAAGTCGATACAAAGCATTTATCTGGAGCAGTATGAACCTAATAGCCGGTGCGCTCTGAGAGAATAGTCCTTCTGACAACGAAGTTACATCGCACATATTTCACAGCAGTTTCGGAAACTGAAAGCAATTGGTGTGATTCATAAGAGCGACCCTGTTCCGAAAAATCACTATGATCACTTGTCTGAGATAATCAGCAAATGCTCGCTATCGTGGAAGAAAAACCGCGAGCTGTTACTGCGATAACAATTTCACTCACAGACTTTATTTAGCAAATCGGAACGTTATTGATAAACGGCGGAGGACTTAAGTTATACATCATGGTCATAAAACTGTATCCTCCACCACCACACGTGCATTTATCACAATTCTAATAGTGACAGTGCAATCTTTTAATACGAAACTAGTTTGGTGAGTACAAAATGGCGTGATTAAGAAACACGTACCTGAGGTAGCTGCCGCTCACCTTGTGTGGTGCCTCCGTACATAAAGCGTTCGACTAATGAGTAAGCCATATTACATTGCATTCCTGGTAGTGTCCACATATTCATTTCGTTGAAATGCGGAAACTCCTTTGCACGGTTTCAATTTTCAGAGCAGTTAGATGGGGCTAATATTTTGAAAATAATTTCTGAGCCATTTCCTCTATATGGAGATTGTTGTAAGTTCAAGACAAGCCTAATATGTTGAACATCAGTAAATTATGCAACCGTATTTTATAGAATAAAACTGGTCTACGCTATGTTCTCACATTTGGCTCGGGCTGCAACTTTACAAAAGGTAAGTGTAAGAAGCAGTACTTGTTTACAGCGTTTACGTGAGTTATCGTTCATGCATACCATCACGGCCATGAAGAATTGAAGCCTAGCCCCACCTGTTTGAAATATGTTTTCTGATACACTATAAAGATATGAGCGTAACTACATTGTACCAATAATATTAGTAGTGACTTTTCAGCGCTATAAGAGAGGCCCTATACATATTTATTTTATTCATTCACATATACCATCTGCCATTTTAAAAGAAGAAGTTTGCAAGAGTCGAAACATCATCCATAAACTAAGTGCATATGAGATGCAAAATATATATGTAGTAAAGAAACAACGTGAAAAAAATCAATGTTAGGGAGATATAGTCGAATAATTAACGTAATATGGTAACAATTTTGAAAATTCATCATGTGGTAACTTTTGCAAGGAACCCTCAAGGCTATTCGAGATCACAATAGTGAAGGGAAAGAAAGCAAATCCTGAAACAATCAATCTCTGCATTAAAATAGACAGCGTAAAGAGGATGACTTGTCCTGGTGGGCCTAGAAGGAGGGTCGTTGTGAACAAAAGATGAGTCAATAATAGGTTTCCCATGAGCACCCCTATGCAGCAGAACAACGTTGTCATAAGAACTTTTATATGTTAAATGATTCAACAGTAGCTTGTTAGCGTAACCCGTGTGTGAAAAATGGCAGCGATCCATTCGTAACAGACTGTTGAAGCAAACAAAATGCAGTGCTTCTATGACAAAATCTATACATAGGCTTTGGTGCAATATGATAGCGCAGAAAGCGCCCTTTGACGATTATCACGCCCGACGCCCTCTAAAGTCCTTCCGCGTCTGCCTCTTTCTCTCGTGAGAAAGTGGAGCCCAGCGTGGCAGCGTTAACCAGTCTGAGCACATCGCCGACCTGAATCGCCTTTGCAGAGATGCGCTCGCATTTCCTAGTGTATCCTTTTATTTCTTTTTCACGGGGGTTGGTCTTTATTCCTGGCACATCTTGGTCATTGTTCACAAGATTCTTCACCCCACCACTTCTTTTCTTCTAACCTTGGTTTTCGCTTTCACGGCTGGCTCTGCTTTCTGTTTCCTTTTAATTCGTAAACTGAGGGAAAGAAAAGAAAGCCATGCACTCGCCTCCGCGTTCAACAATAGTATCTCGGCACGCTTCAAATATGCCGATTATTGCGCAGTACATGTCGTGACGAGACAATTTTTTTTCTACTGTGAAGAAAGCCTCGACGAATGAACGGCGGCGGTCATATTTTCGTATATAAGCCACCCAGCAGACGCTCTGGGCATCAGAACAGTTGTGAGGCTCTTAGAAACAATTCGCGGTTTCCATCGGAGACGTTCCTTTCGAATCAGTATGCAAGCTCTGGTAAGTGGAATGTGCTACACTGCTTTTGGACTACATCTCAAGTCTCCGCGAAGGTCAGCAGCTACTGCAGCTTGGTGTTGGCTCCTCGTCTACCGCTTTATTGCGATATTCTACGTTGTGGCAACTGAATCAACAAGGCAGTCAACTATTCAGGGTGGTCGTCTAGTGGCATAGATGCGCTATTTTAATGATCCGGTATAAGATGTGCATCTTCAGTGTTGCTTCGTAACATGTGCGCATAGTGAACCTTCCTCAGTTTCACTATGCGTATATAGCGCATAGAAGCTTGGGAACAGTGGACTTAGTCTGGACCTCGGCTAACTCCGCTGACCACACTATTTTTGCAACAAAAAGCACATAGTTGTGCTAAAGTTTATTCTTTGTGGAGTGTCTTGATGTAATGTCGGGGCAATTTTGCTATGACTTTCTGTAAGTTATTCTGTGAAATTATTGCTTACCACTGGAATTTTTATTTTTCATATAACAGTGTGGAATACATATCGCTGTCATAATTAGTGTTTCATCGGCAAAAACTAGAACACAAGCCTATACGTTCTTTGGTGAGACTCTCGTTATCACGGCTTGACAATAAATTCGTGGCCACTGATCGTGTGAGGCTAAAAAATAGTCAGAGACGTTTAGGGACCCACACAATTTCTTTGATATCTTTCGAGGCATTGGTATTTAATGTGCTCAGAAACAAATCCAAGACGTGAAATGCATTTGAGGCATTTTCACTTTGTCTTGGTCAGTGAGCGCCACTTTTTCATCATCCCCCTACAACAACATAATAATAATTATATAAATAATAATAATAATAATAATAATAATAATAATAATAATAATAATAATAATAATAATAATAATAATAATAATGTTTCTTTTTTATCAATAGTTTAATGAAGGTTTGATGAAATCAGATGAAATCTCCCAGGGTACTTCACTATACATCGCCACAGCTTAGCTCTGCTAAAGCGTTCTCACTTTCAAGACAAGCTGTAACAATTTGTGGTGCAGAAGAAGGGTGAACTATTCCTTCAACGAGGCATTTTGTTCAGTTAAACTAAGTGTTGTTATTGAAGTCGTGATTTAATGGTTCTTTACGCAGAAACTTATCCCATTGATTACCGTCTTCCTTGGCTTCTGCTCAACGACGTCTTTCGGCGGAGGCCACAGCACCCATAGCACTCGGGCTGTCATGTCTCGGCGCTTCAAGACTGGATCTGTGTACCTGATCAAGAGCTTGCACGCGGTGCCGAGTCCACCAAAAAAGCGGCGTGGTGGAGGCAACAGCTGGAAAGGCAGCAGTGGTGGTGGAGGGGGAGGATGGAAGGGAGGAGGCGGGTGGTCTGCTGGAGGTGGGGGAGGTTGGGACATGGGTGGTGGGAATGGCTGGTGGAAGACCGGGGGTGGTGGTTGGAACATGGGTGGCGGAGGAGCAGGCTGGAAGACTGGAGGTGGCAGTGCTGGAGGTGGTGGAGGCGGCTACGGAGGAGGCGGGAGTGGTAAGCTACTCTCGAATAATTCCCTGTTTTTGTGCGCGTCGTGGTAGTATCTAGTTGCGTAACTTTTTTCTTTTCAATGAAACTAGAACCCCGGACACATGGTATTAGCGTTGCGTTATTTCTCTGAGTTCTTCCTCTGTATCAGCCTAGAATGTTGTAACTTGGCTTCATCTAGTGCAATTGCTTTAGAAACTTCAACCCATTTAGTATTACTGGTAGATTTAACTAGTTCTGGAGAATGGCTCCAGTCACGGAAGGTGTTGGACTAGCACGTGGCTTCAAGTGTTCGTGCTCACTGCACTAGAAGTGATATTCTGCACTGCAGACTTTACAAAATATGCAGCCTTAGAACCTATAAATAGAGTATAATGCATTCTTTTAAGAGTCATGTATTTTCTAAGCGTAATTTGGGGAAGCGAGATATGATGAAATAAACAAATTATGCACAAATATAGACTAGAATGTAGTTTCCCCTCTAGTAGATGTATGCAGTCGTTTAGCCTAAAATAACTTAAAAACACGTTGCAAGACGGCTGTGATTATAAGAGCCATCCAGCACGCATACCACGTGCGGTGACATATGTGCTTACCTAGCTCTATACCTATCTATTTAGTGTAAAAAAGGAACAGAAATGTATGTCAGGGTGCTTGATTCCCATGTTTGGCATACTCATTTCAGTTTCTGACTAGGCAAACGATAGCACATATTCATAAGTATATGCTTCTAAGTAGTAATAATATGTACAAAAACTCACTATGCTCACATTTAAATATGGGCAACAGCGTGAGCAAAATAAGGAAAATAAGTAGATATCTACTTGCGCAAAAGTGCTCAAGAATTGTACATGTGAGCCCACGTACTATCAAAAACAAGAGAACGAAGGAGTTTCGACGTACATCTTGTTCAAAAGGTATATGTACTGAAGCCGTAGTGCAACGCTCTTTCTGATGTGAAGTACCCTATGACGTCCCATATATATGCTTATATCTACAATATAACAGGTATGACGATTCCTGACATAGTTTAGGCACAGCCTTTAACGTTCACTTTGGAAACGAAACACAGATTATACATAGATTTTTTGATGGAAATGTTAAACCACATTAGTGTATAAAAGTAACCCTAAAAATCCGAGTTCTAAGCCATGTGTGTATAAAGTTTCCATAAAGGTAATGTCATTGCCTATAACAAAATACAGTTTGAATTTCTGGTGGTTTTTCGAAAACTTCTTCGAGCTGTGCGTAGGTTGCACGTACAAAACTCACACGTGATCAGACCTTGCAGTAGCGGGTGGTTGCGTCAGTAAAACCTTGAATGTGATCAGAATGTTTCCTCTAAAATTTGAAGAAAACGCAAATTGAATTGAGAGAATAAATTCTCGGCATATTGTACTTTTGGCGTTTAAAGTTACGTTTTCAGAAGAACCTTCTTTGACATATTTATACACTGCAATTGTGATATTTCAGTCGAAACCATGCAAAACTGGTCCCGTCAGGGATGATTTTGAAAGAAGGAAACGTTCTGCACAAATGCAAATGGAGGTGTTTGTATAACAGAAACGCGATAATGATTGATCACATTAAGTTACAGCGTAATATGTGTGACATGTGTCGGGCAAGTATGAACAATTAGAAGAAGCACAGGAATCAATAACAACCAAGTGGAGTCATATGTGTTGAAACCTATTCTTTTCTCTCGTCTAGGGCTGCTCGAGATTTTTAATTTGAGCATAATTGATAACGGCCGTAGCCAAGACTATGCTTAGGGTCGTTTCTCGCCAGGAAGCTTTTATCTCTTGCACTCTTTCTATCATCATGTAGGCCGTGGTGGCACCAGTGACGACCTCATCGTCATCCAAAACGCGCACGCTGCTCGTGACCCTGGTATTACCGTAGAATCTGATGGAGGTGGAGGCGGAGGAGGGAACATTGTTGTAGCTGAGGGTGGTGGCAGTGGTGGTGGAGTCGCTGATGTCGAGATCCAAGGAGGCTACGGTGGAGGAGGTGGCGGAGGAGCCGACTACGACATCAGTGATGGTGGTCCCTGGTGGAGCCGCTAGCCGAGCCAAGAACTGCATTTCCACTTCACTCCCATGTACAGACTACTCATCCGATTTCCCTGATCACCAACTTACCATTTTTTGCATAATGTGCTGTATTTGCTTTATTGGCATTTTTCTCCAGTGCAGTTTGCCACGTATCTTGTGTGACATGCATGTGTGTTTGTATCACTGGTGTGCTTAATTGCGTGCATTTGACCCTGTCGGCACGTTTAACAAGTCAACTTCGCGTAGTTTTTACGCCTTGAAAAAACGGGATCATAAGAATACATGAAGTTTCTGTGTTAGAAAAATCGACGCCAGTACGGTGTAGAAGAAACTCATCTTCCGCTGTGCGGTGAAGGCCGTTTCATCAGCGTATAGACCAGCTCTCGCTGCTGAACAATGTGCGTGGAGCAAAGCTTTGACGGTACGCCGCAATAGCGGATAGCTCAAGAACTAACTTCACTTTTGAGTGTATTAGTCTATCGAAGGAATGAATAAAGCTCCTAAAGAGAGCACTGCGTGTTTCTGACTCACTTGTGTTTGTTTATTTTCTTGGTTTCTACATCTTATTAGGAGCACGGCAACCATTTTCCTCATCCACTTCTTAGAAATTTATTAGAATTTATCTCAACAGAACATTTATATTCGTAACAGCTAATATTGACCAATAAACCTACCTTAGTGAAGTCGTCTATGCGATTAATAATCACACTTGTATAAGTTATTCAAGCTAACGTCGACTATTGGTAAGCTTAACAATGTACCCAAATGACTTAGCCATTTATATATGAGATGTCTTTCCATTGTCATGACAGTGCAGAACCTCCTGGTCCGAGCAGTACGAATAGCAAAATGAAAAAAGAGGCTGTTTTGATGTTCTATACAAATCCCTTACATTCATAACATTCATGCATGGGAATATGAGTATGTAGAGCGTCCGCAAAGTGGTGCGGACCCCGGAATCACGGGGTAGAATGCTTTTACGCCGCGTCGGACGATGGGTAACCTGCTGTCGAGAGCCCTACTGAAGGAGCACGGTGCATGCGCGTCCGGTCATATCGGGTGCGTCTCTCATGTCACGTAGTCTGACGTGGTGATAGCGTTCCAGAGAGAACGCACTGATGGAGCAGGGCGCATGCGCGTCCCGTCATATCAGGTGCGTCTCTCATGTCATGAAGTCTGACGTGGTGATAGCGTTCCAAGAGAGAACGCACTGCAGAGTGGGGAGCATGCGCGTCCCGTCATATCTGGTGCGTCTCTCATGTCCGTAGTCTGACGTAGTGATAGCGTTCCAAGAGAGAACGTACTGATAGAGCAGGGCCCATGCGCGTCCCGTCATATCTGGTGCGTCTCTCATGTCCGTAGTCTGACGTGGTGATAGCGTTCAAAGAGAGAGCACACTGAGGGAGCGGGGCGCATGCGCGTCCCGTCATATCTGGTGCGTCTCTTATGTCACGTAGTCTGACGTGGTGATAGCGTTCCAAGAGAGAACGCACTGATGGAGTGGGTCGCATGCGCATCTCGTCATATGTGGTGCGTTTTTCATGTCACGTAGTCTGACGTGGTGATAGCGTTCGAACAGAGAACGCACTGATGGAGCGTTCTGATAAAGCGGGACCCATGCGCGTCCTAATATATCTGCTGTATCTTTCATGTCACTTTGTCTGAAGTGGTGATGGCGTTCGCAGACAGACAGTCAATTGGGTGTCACTGTATGGTGGTTTTGGGACGTTAAACCTCATATATCAGTTATCAGGGTGTCACTGTCTTCTCAATTCAATCTGCGCTGTTTACGTAGCCACTGTGGCGTGGCCGGCTCAAGCGCCTGGTCCGCATTTCTTTTTACGTCAATTAACTATGCTAACCAGGCCTACGTAGCATCATATAACCCAATATAACTAGCATAATTAGGTATTATGGTGACACCATGTGGCACCAGCACAAAACTTAGCAGCCCAGCTTGCACTTGCCGCGTTAAGCCAAGTTCAAACATAGCTCAATCTAATAAGACGTACTCAAGCATGGTATCGCCTAACAGACCTTGTGACGGAAACCTTGTGACGGCGGCTTTCTTTTCGGGATCAGGTCAAACACCTTGGGCGCTGATGACATGCCGAAGAAATTGAAGCTCTTCGAAACCGAATTGACACTTATCTGGCTTGATAGTCAAGTCTTCCGAACGGAATGCTTCTAAAACAGACCGAAGGCGCTTCATGTGCTCCTCGAATGTTGCGGCGAAGATGAGCACGTCGTCGAGGTACACTAAGCAACACTGCCACTTCAATACGGAAAGTACAGTGTCCATCATGCGTGGGAACGTTGCCGGCGCCCAAGAGAGTCCATTAGGGAGAGCCTTAAATTCAGACAGTCCGTCCTCGATAATAAAAGTCTTCTCATGATCCCGTTCATCAACCTCGATTTGCCACTATCCGCTCTTGAGATCTAGTGATGAGAAGAAGTTTGCACACCGAAGTCGATCTAACATGACGTCGATGCGTGGAAGTGGATATACATCCCGTTTAGTCACAGCATTCAATATTTGGTAGTCGACAAAAAAACCGTAGCGTGTTAACCTTCTTCTTGACAAGCACCACGGGAGGTGCCCACGGACTGTTAGAAGGCTGAATAACATGATGTTGACGCATCTCCCGTATCTGATTCTTTATAACTTCCCTTTCCTTAAGTAAAACACGACACGGGTGATGAAATACTGGCCTGGTTGTCGCATCCGTTATAATCTTGTGTTTCGTAAACCTCGTGTGCCGTACTTACGAACTATTGCAGAAACAGTTGCGGAATTCCCGTAATAGGTCATATCGCTGTCGACGTTAATCACTGAAAGGTTAGGATTGACAGATATGACGTCACAGACGTGATATGTTACTTTCATATCGGTTGGTGTAGTTTCGAGGCTGCTTATTTCTGTCACTTCACAGAACTCGTCAAAAAAGGCTATGGCTGCTCCTTTAGCATTGTGTTGGAATTCGTTCCCAAAGTTTGTGAGGAAGATGTCTGCACACCCTTTCCGCAACTTGATAACCTCTCGTGCCGCACAAACACCTTTCTTCAGGAAAGCATCCATGTTGCCGTCTGCCACACCTTCATAGTCGCTAAATGTATCATTTCTGACAAGAACAATTACACTGCTTCCTGGTGGTACCGTTACATCATCATCGACGGCCCGTTGTGGAGTGTTGTATTGTTCATCTGCTCGTACTGCTCTTATACTGTGTTTCGTCAAAAATGACACGCTTGACCTCTGCAAATTAATAAGAGCACCATTAGCTTGTAGGAAATTCATTCCGAGTATGACTTCCTTCAGACAGACGAGCAGGACGACAAAGTCACTGACGTAAATGAAGATTCGTATCAAGACCCCTTCAGTACATCGGCCGAAAGGGGTTATGAGCTGACCGCCTGCAGTACGTACTTCAGGTCTATTCGATTTGGTCAGAACTTTCCTGAGTCGCTTCGCTAATTCGTAACTTATCACAGAATAATCCGCACCAGTATCGCTCAAAGCATTGAGCTCTAGTCCGTCGATCACCAACGGCAAGTCTGAAGTAATTTTCTCTCTACTGCACTCCTTTGCCTGCAAACAGTAATCGTCGTCGCGCTCGTAATGCAGTGGAGGATCTTCACATCTCAGGTCACCAGCGACCTCGCTTCCATGGGTCGCCCTCTTCAGTTTCCCTGATTAGGGCTAGGAAACAATGCTTAAACATACTTAGGAAGGGACGTGGGCTGTACGAATAGTAGCGCATAGGGGATGGTCTGCGTGGTTGATAACGACGAGGCAGGTCGAAGTTCCGACGTGAACATAGATATTCTTCAATCTCGGAAGGTCTTCCACCGTTTCTCGGACATGGTGCGTTGATGGCGAATCCCCTAAAACCAGCTTGACAATATCGGCAGAATCGGTACAGGTGGCCAGCTTCTCCGCAGTGGAAGCACAAGGGTCTACGTGCGGCATCTCACCATACATCGCTCTTCCGTGGCATTGTCTCTGTCGCATGAGGTGGAGTGCGTGCTGCCTCTACGATTTCAGGCGGACTGCGCATTGTCTGCACATAAGTACTTGGTGTCCTGATCGGCGAACAGTACAGAGCAGGCCACCTGAGCCCTCAGAGTACGTTGCCGCCCGTCGTATCAATGGCAAATCGTTCCGCATCTCCCGCAAGACCTGCCGAATTTCTTCTCCGAGAACTTCAGCAAAAGACAGCTCAGAGGTGACATCAGGTGACTGCAATTTCCTTAATTCCTCCCTGACAACAGACCATACGAGCTCCCGCAAAGTGTCAAGATTATCCAACACCCTGCTGAGTAGACTTCTGTTGAAGCAGTGGCTACATCGCGGTTGTACTGTCGGGCTCTCTGCTGCAGCGTCGTTTCGATGGCTTTTGCTTCCGACCAAAACTCAGCAATAGTACGGGGCGGATTGCGGACGAGTCCCACGAACAAATCTTGCTTGACCCCGTGCATGAGGTGGCGCACTGTTTTCTCTTCCTTCATGCTAGGATCAGCTCCCTTGAAAAGGCGGGACATATCTTCGATGTACATCGTGATCGTTTCGTTCGTTCGTTGATTCCATGGAGGAAGAGCTGCTTCCACCTTTTCCCGACGATAACTGCTGTCGAACGTACTCAGTAGCTGCCGCCAAAACTCTCGCCACGACGTCAGAGATGCCTCGTGGTTTTCGTACCACACTCGCGCAGAGTCTTTCAACGCAATGTAGACGTTGCGCAGCTTGCCTCTTCGTTCCACTAATTTAGGTTTCCCACTCTCTCGAAATGCTTTAACTAGTCTTCGGCGTCCTCGTATGAATCACCGTAAAACACCTTTGGAATGACAGGCAGGCTTACGATGAGTTGTCCCAGCGTAACTTGGCTCATCGTAGTTGGGGTGTCACTTGTCTCCGTCACCGGTCCTTGACACGGAAGGAAGTGGTCCGGATTTGGGTTATTCTCCTCGGATACGGCAGCTGACTCGTTGGTGTACCGGTGTAAGCTCCGCAG